TAGAAAACGTTAGAAATGTATTATAATTATAAAAAAAAAAAAAATTCAAGAGTTTTTGTGTTTTTTTAGTTTTTAGAAATCTCACTTAAGTTTTTGAAGTCTCGCCCTGTTTTTGAGAAAGGGTGAGAAATTCTCACCCATTTTTTTTCTAAGATGAAAACACTGCTTAAACATTTAATAGCATTAACATTAATCTTAAACATTTTAGTAAATAGATTTATACAAATCAATATTTAAAATATTGAACTGGATAAGTATAATAAAGTTGAAAAATTAAAAAATTTATATTTAATACCTCAATATTATTATCTGTAATAGCTTCTTCAGAATTCGAAGGCTTCTTTTTCACGAAATCAGTATATGCAGATACAACAGCAGAAGAAAACAGTTTTTTCTCTTCCTTAGACATCTTGGCAATACCTTGTTTTTTCAAATACATTTGCTTCAGTTCTGCTTTGGTAACAGTACTGTAAGAAATAAGGAAATATTTAGCAAGTACTTAATATATATGTAATGAACTAATTACAGAAAAAAAATAGTAATATATTAGTAAAAAATTACCAAGGAATCAAGAATTTCAGCAAATACCTTAAAATTATACTCAGGGGTCATTCTAGATTTATCTGAGAGGTACCTATTTTGTGAAAATTTAGACATAATTTGCGAAAAATTAAAAATTATATTAAAAAATTAACAAAAAAATATGAATTAGTTTCTTATGGGATACAAAAATAAAATTTCAAGAAAAATTATTTTGCGAAACTACCGCTAAACGGTAGTAAATTCAGCCTGGACAGACCCCTGATACTAATCTTTGATCGTTGTTTTAACAATTGCAAATTGACTCCAAAGTCATACTAAATCTTTTCATAACATAACACCTCTAACAGACATGAATCTCGCACTCAGACACATGATGTATTCAGAGTCCCCTTAAAATTAATTTGAACATTCTAATTTATCCAAGCAGTATATATAGATTGGAATAAAAAACATACACGCAATTCTTTCACTTTAAAAAAACATCAGTATAGTGAATTTACAGACTAATTTATGTAATATCTATATAGAATTTTAACTTATATCATCGAATTTTAACACAGATAACAGTTGTGTACATGTGCATCACTTAAAATTTAACATGGCATCACACAAGTTCACTCCAGATCCCACAATAGCAGTTATAATAGTCTATGTTGGGAATTAAAAAAAATTTGAAAAACAAGTGCACAACAAATCATAGATAAAAATATATTGCCCGCCTTTCTTTTTCCTTAATATGATTTTTACTTTCAATTCCATGACTACTTTATTTTTCTTTCTGTAGAAAAAGTTTTAAGAATATAAAAATTAACTTTGAAAACATAATGATTTGTCAGAAACAGATAAAATAAAAAGTATTTCTAACATATAATACATGCGATTTTCATTCAATAGGAAGTAGTAAAAAAATTTTAATCATCAACCATTAATTTCTATTTAAGTCCCAGATAAGTTCGTAAGTTAAAAATTTTAAAAAACAAGTGCACAACAAATCATAGATAAAAAATATATTGCCCGCTTTTCTTTTCCCTTATTATGATTTTTACTTTAAATTCCATGACTACTTTATTTTTTGTTCTGTAGAAATAGTTTTAAAAATATAAAAATTAACTTTGAAAACACTATGATTCGACAGAAACAGATAGAATAAAAAGTATTTCTAACATATAATACATACGATTTTCATTCAATAGGAAGCAGTTAAAAAATTTTAATCATCAAACATTAATTTCTATTTAACTCCCAGATAAGTTCGTATGTTAAAGAAATCGTTGTTGATTATTCATAATAATTGCAAAACATCAGGTGTAAAACTAAACAATTTTTATCACTTCCATCTTAAATTTCCTTTAACATAGAATAGCAATATATAAAAAAACAATAATGTAATCCAGGCATGAATGTACATGCCTGTTTACATTATGGAAATGCGGGAAATCAAATTTGAGCAGAATTTCACAGATGATAAAGTAAAGAATTACCCTAAATCAACTGTTAACAAACTCTCTTTCAGAAACTCTTGGATAGACTCCATTTTTCATATGAGATATTAATCTCTGCAATCAATGAGTATTTTGAACATAAGAGTACTAACAGACTTTATTTCAGAAACTACACTTGATTTCCCGCACAAAATTTGCCGCCTTTCTAAAAAATTGTGCTGCAGTTGCGTAGCGTTTCCAACTGTCTATTTCTGTTAAGATCAAAGACCCATATGCACAACATTTCTACCATGTAAGCTAGAAGTTAGTTTAGTTATCTCCCTTGAGATATTTATACGATGGATGGTGTTTTCTATACCAGGGAACGCTGCAAGCTCGGTACCACCTAAATTTTCGGGTTACTGCTTCCGTTGTATTTTAAAGCCATTTGGCATCATTGTGTTTTGAGATTCTTGCAGACAATGTATTTGATTACTTATTACTTGTGTTTACAGTGCTAACAATACTGGTGTCTACAATGATAAAAGTGTTAACACTAACGTAAGATGGTGCACAGCTTGCAACAAGAACAAACAGTAATAAACTTATGGAAAGAGACCATATCAAGACTGCCAAAAAAGCGAGTTATTCAAAATCTAGCAACCATGTCACCTTTTTTAACAATACATCTCTAAAAAACTAAAACAAATTTTCACTTCAAACTGACCAGAATTACATATTAACATTGATATCTTATGAAATATGGCAGATTTGAGCTCAGAAATTGAAAACAATTTCTTTATTGATAACAAAATTATTCGTTTGAAAACATCGCCTATCAGAATAACATGTAGTAAGCAGCTGCAAACTTTTTAACCGGAACTAGAGTAGGTGCCGAGCTCGAGATTGTTATTGCTTACATTTCTATTGAAAACACCATCTATATCACGGAGGCAGACGAGGTGGCCGAGCGGTTGGCGTGCCTGACGGCGGAGCTGATGGTTGCGGGTTCGAATCCCACTCAGCGCATGGATGTTTCTTTCTCTTTGTGTTCTATGTCCTTTCTCCTGTTTGTGAATGTGACCCGCCCTATAAACGGGTTTGTGGTTGTGTGACGTGGGCGACGCTGCTCCACCTCCATGGCATTAAAATATATATATATAGGGTAAACTAACCAGNTTAATATATATATATATATATATTTATATATACAGTAATAAAACTTGTGTAAGTTGACCACTTGTGGTGCATTGCTTTACTGGTCAACTTAGACAAGTGGTCAACTTATAGAGGGAGTTGGTCATTGTTTACTTTTCCATTTCCTATATCATGTTGTTACGTATTTAAAAATTTTTGTTACTTGACTTAAAAATTTTATTTAGCAAGTATAGCCAAATGAATATCTTAAGAAATGTGCTTAAACCTGAATGAACTTCAATTTGTTACGCATAATTCTAATATTTAACTAACTTTTTTAAAAAATTTATTTGTTAGTTATATATGTGAAGTGTTTAATAAAAATAATTTCTTAAAATATCAGAACACGAAAGCATGTAATTTGAACAAAATTATGTGAACACTTTATTCTGTTAAAATTTATTTATTTACAAACCTATTAGTTACAAAAATATTCCCTCATTGTTGTTTGGCTCTGTTGTTTAGACTTTACCTCAGCCCAATGTTTTGAATGAAAGAAATGGTCAAAAGCTGACCCATTACAGTTTCCCCAGATGGTCAACTCACAAAAGGGTTTAGATTAGCTTTTTACACTACGTCGCCAAACAAGTGAAATTTTATCAAGCATTGCAAAATGACTGAATATTTTCTGAATTTTTTTTTCTGGTCAACTTATGAAGGTTTTAGAATAGAATTTCATAATACTCCTCATATACGGCAGTACTTTTACTTTCGTTACTTGTACCGCCGGTACAAGTAAAAAGTACGTACTTTTACTTGTACTTCGTTACTTTTTAAATTTAGTACTTTTACTTGTACTTTCGTTACTTTTTTAGGGAAAAAGTACAAGTATTTGTAACGGAAATGTCGAATGAAATCGTTACTTTTTTCTAAAACTCGGTAAGCTTTCTAAAAAAAAATTTAAAAAAATGCTGTCAAAATGCAATTATTTTGCAAAATGAATAAAAATATTAATTTGGAAGTTATTTTCATTCATTTCCGAGTTTTATGCATTTGTTTAATACATTTTAAATAAAAATTGTTGGATTTTGTTATTACGTTTTTCAATTTTCTTTTTGATCTCACTAATAATACATTTTTGTCTTAATACATTTTTTACTAAATACATTTTTACCTAGTACATTTTTTCCTAAAATTATGTTTATGCCCGACCTTGTCAAACAACGCCCAGTCAAATCTCTAAGAACTTCGGAACTATTTGTGCTACTGAAAACTATTTTACTATTTTAACTCTTGAAAACTCGAAGGTATTAATTTAGCCGCTGATACTAAAATTCGTTTACAAATTTTAATCATTCCGTTTGGCAGAAATGTTCGGAAAATGATTTTCTCGCATGACTTCAGCATTAGCCATTGTTACAAATAAAACTGTAGACTGTTCTGTTTCAACTTATACTGCACATTCAATTATTTTTTACCAGCTCAAAGATCACAAAGCTATCTGAAACCCCGTGTTTGCTTTGTTTATGTTTGTGCTTTTAAAACGCGTTTCTATAGAGTAAAACAATTTTAAATCAATGGTAATTTAAATAAATAAAAATAATAAACTAAAAATTAAAATCAATAGATAAAATTTCTTTTTCGTGCAAATCCATAAAAAGTTTGATATTAAAATTATATTTGATTTTAAAATTATATTATACGATTATATCATAAAATTATATTATAATATTCCTCCGAATTTAAAAATAAATTAATGTCCATAACTTTCAAAATTAAAAATAATTAAATAAATAAAACCAATTTTGCAAAACCATTGAAGAACATAAGAATATTATTCAATAAAATTTTAGGTTACTTTGAATTTTCGATTTCCTAGAAATGTACTTTTAAATCGTTACTTTTTTTGTTTAGTACTTGTACTTTTACTTGTACTTTTTACTCGTTACTTTTTAAAATAAGAACTTTTTACTTTTTACTCGTTACTTTTTTTAAAAATACTTGCACTTTTACCCTTTACTTTTTAAAAGTAACGTTGCCATATATGATACTCCTAGACAAAATTGACTTATTTCAGTGGTCAACATACAAGATAGACAGGTAGTCAAGTTACAAAGGTTTTGCTTCTTTATATTATATTGGAAAAATTCCGTTCTTGATAATTCAGGTCAACTTATGCAGGTGCCCAACTTACAAGGGTGGTCAACTTGGCAGGTTGGTTGGTCCTATCCACCAATTTTCGTTTCAATTGGACAACTCCTTCTTGGTGCGTCGATTCTTTTGTTATAGAGTGTATATACCCCAGGAGGTATATTGATGTATTCATTTACACCCTTTTCATTCTAAAATATTTCAATAACAGCCTCATTTATACCTTTGAAAAATATTTCATTTATACCTCAAAAATACCTTGATTTTTCCTTAATTAAGGGATCCAATTTTAACTCTGTAGTTGCATTTTAGCGGGAAATAGATCGTTCAACATAGTTTTTTTCACCATCGAATCTTAAAATTTTTAGTTCATCGAATTTTTTGTACGTTTTTGCCTGCGTAATTTCAAATCTCGTAAATCTTACAGATTTTGCTCAGCGAAATAAAATGTAACGTAATGCACGAAGAAGGAAAGAAACGTGAGAAAAAATTGGCCGAAAAAGACAATTGAACTTGCAATAACTTTCGAACAAACTAAAATCGTAAAAATAAAAAAAAAGTTTGTGTTAAAGTTATAAGCAAGTAAGACCCTTTCCGTAGAGTGACCTGCTGCATGGCGTTTCGCCCTGCAAGTTTAATAGTAAATAATTCTCCAACTAAGTGTCGAATGTTAAATTTTTTTATTACATTGTACTTCGTGAACATTTTCTACATACTCTCGTAATGGCAAATTTCGATATCCTACAGTTTTTGTGCAATGAAACAAAATGTAACGATAAGTTGAACACCCAAAACAGCGGTAGCATTTGCCCTAACGTTTTTTTTTCTTTTTTTTCTTTCTAACATTGAGAGATAAGTGATTGTAGATAGAATTCTCTTGCATTATTCTACACTTAAAAATTTTTCTTCCTTTCTCACAGGTGGTGAACAGTTAATGAACCAAATAATTTGTAAACTCTTGTCGTATAAAATATTGAGTCAAATTTCGCCTCCTTGAGTTTTTTAAAATCATGGAAAATTTCCCAGAATTTTTGGAATCCAAATTTTTTACTCTTAAAAAGAATATTTTTCAATTGTTTTGTCATAAATATCATCTCAGAAAGTATTTATACCTTTTTTCAATAAGTTTTTGTTTTTAAATTATACGAGAAAGATTATGCTCCCATTCGAGACCGATTGCCCACCACGTGTGTGATGGTAGGTATTGAATTACAATCAACAATTGGAATTACAATCAACAATTAACAGTCAGTATTGGAAATGCAGCCCGTCAGGATAAGACGAAATTAAAATAAGAAATTACCTCATAAGTGTGTAAAAATAAAATTTGGCGTTGATTTCAATTTTGAACCTTAACTGAGTAACCCAAAGTCAGAACCATCAAAATTGCGGAAAAGGATCACTGTAATGAAAGTGATGTTATGGTGAGTAGTGATTTAAACTGTTTGTTTGCAAAAAAAAAAAAAAAACGCACCGAAATGTTTTTATTAATGTGTAGTGGTGATTTGGAATGTAAGAATATAGGAGCATATCTGTTTGATGATGCAGTCAGTATCATATATGGCAGTACTTTTACTTTCGTTACTTGTACCGCCGGTACAAGTAAAAAGTACGTACTTTTACTTGTACTTCGTTATTTTTTAAATTTAGTACTTTTACTTGTACTTTCGTTACTTTTTTAGGGAAAAAGTACAAGTATTTGTAACGGAAATATCGAACGAAATCGTTACTTTTTTTCTAAAACTCGGTAAGCTTTCTAAAAAAAAAATATTAAATTGAAAAAAAATGCTTATGTTTTTTTTTAATTAATAAAATTAATGTGCAATATACATGCATTCACAGCTAACTTCGTGTTTAAATACCTTCTGTTTCAACTTATACTGCACATTCAATTATTTTTTACTAGCTCAAAGATCACAAAGCTATCTGAAACCCTGTGTTTGCTTTGTTTACGTTTGTGCTTTTGAAACGCGTCTCTAAAGAGTAAAACAATCTTAAATCAATGGTAATTTAAATAAATAAAAATAATAAACTAAAAATTAAAATCAATAGATAAAATTTCTTTTTCGTGCAAA